TTTTTATTAACATATTTTAAACTTTCAAAAACATTTCAAGGCTTATATTATGCAATTACATTGATTTCAAATACTTCCATTTTTTCTTGTTATGCTTGTGGGTGCTTTGTTCAAATTGAGTTAGTGAGTACTTTTAGATTAAGTATCCTGAAATATAATTTGTTATCTTGAGGCGCCTCTGAAGAAAGCGTCTTGCTAAAACATGTTGCACTAAATGCTTTCCATTTCTATTATCATGTCAAGGCTTTGCCAAATTTTGGTCAGAAAGACTTAACATATTTACTGTGACATTAGCTTTCATGGAGTAAAAATGCATTTGTCGGGCTACTTGATGCATCTGACCCATGGAAGCTTATGCCACAACAGACTTACACTCTATGCAAGCAAAGAAGTATAACTAGAGTAACCAGGAAACATATTAGCAACATTCAAAACCTAAGTCCCCTCCTAGGTGAATTACATTTTCAATAACATTCTGGGGCTGGGGCTCTGCAAGTAGAGACCAGCATCCAACGAATATATGGAAGATAGAAGAGAAGTTTATATTTGCCTAAATTTGTATACAAAATGCCTGCATGCAACCCCAAGGGGTTTTGCTTTCCTCACTCCTTGCAGGTGTTTGGCTCCTTCCTTGTTCTCTTAAAAGTACTAAGAGAGATGTTTCTTAATATGTATCACATTCCTGTCTCTTGTAGTGATTATGAATTCTTAGCCCTACCCAATTAGGAACCATTAAAAAAAACAACCTGGTACCTGTCTTTCATCTTTGGAGAACCCAACACCTGCAAGGTGAGGAGGGTGGGAGAAGAAAAAGCAAGTGCCCTCTTTACTTCTTCCCACATTCTCTTCTTCCTTCATATCTTTGTAAAGGAGCTGCAAAGGGAAGCTACCTCCTCTATTTTCTGCACCTTGCATCCTGTAAATTTCAAGTTGTGTGGCTGATGGGACCCCTCTGGGAGGGCTTGTCCATTGTGGCTTTACTGTGAATACTGTGGCTTTACTTTAAAAAAAAAAAAAAAAAGGCGATCCAAATTCTAATAACCTGCATTTGGCAAATCAATAGGTATTATATACCTATAACTCCTCACATGAACCGAATCGGATTTAAAAGGTCAGAAATCTAAAATGATAAACTGATATATTCTTCATGTAGCAAAAAGTTATTTAAGATTCATTATTAGGGTGACTATAGTAGGAGCTATGCATATCTGTATCATCACATATTTATTTACTGTATGTTTACAAAAAATACAAAAACACCACATTTAGCCTTGGGAACAGAATATCATCATCAGCATCATCCTTCCTCCCAAATGAGCCATAGGCAGCAGGGAACAAGGCAATAAAAAAAATCCAAAATTTTGAAAAATGTTTCAGACAAGCCAAATATCTACACAACTAAAAATTCCAAAGTTGCTAGAAGCAATGTCTTTTGACAATGCTTGGGTAAACAGGAACGTTTTAACCTTTTGCCTCAATGCTAATAGTAAGGGGGACAGATGCAGTTCACCAGAGAGGAGTGGACTCCATAAGCTGGGCACTGCTGTGAAGAAGCCCCCATCACAGGGCAGCACCAGTTGGGCTGCACCAAGCAAAGAATCTCAACATTCATCCTAAAACCAAACAGGTTTCTGTGAAAATGCACCCTAAAAAGACAATGCTGACAACAGACACATAGTGAACTTTTCCAAAAGCCAAGTAGGATTTCCAATAGTAATAGGCAGCTTTTGAACAACATGTCAGGCAGCTGTAGTTATAGAGTTATCTAGTCTTTTATATTATGTTACAGTCATATCTCGGGTTACGAACGTTGCAGGTTATGCGTTTTCGGGTTGTGGACCGTGCCGAACCTGGAAGTGCCAGAATAGGTTACTTCCGGGTTTCAGCGCTCGCGCATGCGCAGAAACACAAAATAACATCACAAGCATGCGCAGAAGCATGCCGCCTTTCAGCCAGAGGAGGCCCCCCCAAAGTGGCTGAGAAAGGATAGTATAAACAAAACACAACTTTCAAAACTTTAAAACAAAATTTTAACACTTCAAATATTATTTTATGTTATTTCATTTTTAATATTTGTATTCCACCCTTCAGCCGTAGATCTCAGGGCAGTTCACAGCATAAAAATACAAGATAAAAACACAAAATACATAAGAAAAACAAGAACAAACCAAACCAATAACACCACCACCCACAGGAAACCCAATGAAAGCAGTAAGAATTGAATTTGTTTTCTCTTCCCCACCCACCCTGATTTGCACAAGCAAGTCCACAGCTGACTTGCATCCTTTTTATCTATGTGATTTACTTACTGTAACAAATAGATTCTTGTTTATTGTTTTTTATGCTATTTTACTGAGATTTCTATTTTCATGCATGCTGTTAGGAACCTTGAAATTTCCATTATGGGATGTAAAATTTTTCTTCCTCCACAAAATGTTTTTACACACACACACGGATTTTCATTATGAAAGAATCATTGGCAGATTATTCACTGAAAAATTGCATTACTTGAGAAATACAAAGATTCCTTCTTTCATCTCACTGAAATAATTTTTTTGTTTGTATCATTATACTGCGTGTTTAACACTTTTTAACGTCTGTAGACTTAAGTAACATAACTCCTTGGAAACACTGTTGTTTTTTAATCCTCCATTTTAAAAAGCTACTCAATGAGAGTTCTGAAATGAAGTTGTGTAAATATTCAATGACTGAGACAGAGGAGTCATCAGGGTATGAGAAGGAGGAGCTGAAGGGGGCAAGGTTCTGTGCCAATAACTTAATCATAACCACGTGAGTAATTCAGGTTTGGGGATGGTTACCCCCCCCCCCTTTTAAAGGGTATGAATCAAGTTAAGTTTGTTTTGCTGTGGGTGAAGGAAAGGAGAATATAATACTATGAATCAGAAAGATGATCAAATATGTGGCAAAGACAGCTCAATTATAGTTGCTGCCTTTCGTCTCAAACTGCCTATCCTAAGAAGTCAGGATTTTGCTTATCAACAGAAATGATAGTTTTCAGTTTCCAAGATTCCCTATAACAGGAATGGACAGAAGGTAGAATATACTGGTCTCTGGTTGATTTGTAGCAGATTGACAAGGTTCTCTGGCTTCCAGCTGTTCAACCAAAACAACAACAATATTACTTTTCCCACCTAAATCAGACTGCTGAAATGAATTGACTTTTCAGGAATTGACTTTTGTGTGAAGAACTGTGAGCTAAGTTTAGGCCCCCTACTGAAAACAGAACATGCTCAGAGGCACTCTTGTTTTTTAATTCTAACTGTATACCTTTTGCACATGACTCTCATTGGTAGATCTATCAAGACTGAAGTTTTCCCACCCCTTTTATATTCTCCTCCTCCTCTTATTGAATGTTATCACTAATGCATTTTAGCTTCCAGAATATCTTACTGTACTGGGATGCCCTTCTGCCTGGTCGCTGTGGTAATGAAGAGTAAATTATAGGGCTGAATGTCATTCTGCCTACAGCAGTTTGAAATTTGTCCAGCTCTGAAATGGATTTTAAAGTCAAACTACGGCAAGTACAGATTTGGCAATGCTTAGAGGAATAAAATTATCATTCTATCAATGATCTTTTAAAATGACGTACACAAAAAATAAAACGTTCACTTTGACTTTGACTTGTTTTTCCCCCTCTCTAGTTGATTCTTGGGACTTTTGCGGTTTGTTTTAAAACAGCTTTTAATAGTCTGAAAGGATAACAACTTGTTTTTCATTTGTAATGCAATTAAAATTGTATGCTTCAAAAGGAGAAATAATTATTTCTTTAGTAGCAGTGGGGAACTCATTCTCATAAAACTCACCGAAACTGAAAGACCTGTGAAAGCACAGGGTCACCTCACATCTGTACCTCACAGACAAACTTCCAGAATCCAAATCACAGTAAATTACACTGAATAGAACCAATACAACAAATAATGCAGCAATCTTGCCAAAACATACTTGGCACAATCCAACCCAAGTTCAATCTATTGATGTCTCCTTGATTTTACTGGGATGGCTGAGCACATGCTTAAAATCTCTCCCACTGGGGTGAAAAAGTCCTGAAATACCGGTTGGAATGTGCTCAGACCAAATGAGACACTGCAATAGCAAACATACAGAGAGAGAGAGAGATAGAGAGAGAGAGAGAAAGAGAGAGAAGAAATGGCAGCAATGCCCAAATCCATCCCACCCTCAAATGCGAAGCTCCACTTGGGCTGGTCCTAATCTGTCAATCTAACTGACCTCATAGGTTTGTTATGAGGGGAAACCATATGAGAAAGGGCAGGATAAAAACACACATGCGATAAAACAGAAATTTAGACACCAGTAATGAACAACATGGTACTCTGCAAGCATCAAAAACAAACCCAAAGAGTTCACACAGAAGCAAATAAACACAGGAACAGCTGAAGCTGCCTTATATGGAGTAAGATCTAGCTCAGTACTGTCTACACGGACTGGCAGAAACTCTCCAGGATTTCAGACAAGCTTTTCCCCTGCCCAATTTGAGATGCCAGGGATTTGCAGGTGAAGTAGATACTTTACCACTGACCTTACAGACTGGCAGTGCTATGCCAGCAACAGCCACCATCACTGGATGTAGAATTGCAGCGCAGGGGCATCTCTTAGCACTATAAACTACTTATTCACAATGTGTGCTAAGTCCCCCCCCCCAACATAGAATAAATTATTAGGTACCTAACTAAGAACTGGCAGACACACTTTTCATAATGGAATTGTACCTGGTAGACAGGTCATGGACATAGTGGTGCCATGGTGTCTGTGATGGCTTGCTTTCCCCCCGCCCTCCCCACCTAGCTCTCCTTGATAGAGAGAAAGAGACAGAGAGGCAAAAAAAAAAGCAGCCAGCAATCCTTTCTGTATTTACTTAGGTGGGTGAATGAAGTAGGGTTTAATGAACTCAAATTCTGTCCTCCACCCCCAACCCATCCACTCTCCCCTGCCCCCACCCCACCTCCAGCTAGAAAGAGAAGGAGAGCGAATGCAATCAGACAGCCTTTCAGTATCCCAGTGAGGGACAATATATAGGATTTTTCAGATTCATCTCTCTCTTGAGGTGGGGGAGAAGGAACAGAGTGAGTATATGACTTCTTACATTGAGTGGTCTTTTGCAAACGTAAGTTAAGGAAGGGTAGAGAATATGTTTTCACCCTTCAAAAACATGTTTATAGGTGGAGAGCCTAATCCAGTTAGTGATGAAAGAAAGAAAGAAAGAAAGAAAGAAAGAAAGAGAACTCTTTTCCTTGCCTGTCTTCCCGTCTCTAGTAATATGGGCGAGTTCAATACTCACATGACTTTTTCTGCATGCTGATGTGATGCACTTTATAGTCTTGAGTGGTTACAGAGGACACTTACTTACAGAAAGGCATACACCTCACACAACAGCTCTACTTAAAAGTAATGCCCTCAGTTTATAAAACAAGTCAACACAGAAACAGAAAACCCTTATTTTTGTTTATGCCACCCAGTCTGAATCTGTGGCTTTGCATGGAGGCATTGGGCAAAAGTCAGACCACAAGTATGCAGTACCACTGTGAGTAGAGAGAAAAAAAGATAATGTTTGTATTTTGTTTATGTAGTGTGCTAACCATCACAAAGCTTTTAGCAAGGATATCAAAACTAAAACTAAAAAAAAGTCTATATTTCTTGAACTAGTTAATCAGTTATCACTTTAAAAGAATATCTCTTAGAAAAATAAACACAGTTTACAGCTGTTAATCCTATGTACATGTGTGTGTGTTTGTGTGTGTGTGCTTCATTCAAGGAAAGCTCTGTGGGACACACATGAACACCACAAGCCCTATTTGGGTGTTCAGTTCCTCAATGTGATTAAAATCATGTGAGGGAGAGCAGCAACCTTGGCTAGCCCTGCCACCTCTGCAGTGCCCCTGTCCCATCTCTGCTGCTTCTGACATCTTAACAGGGCTCATGCCTGCAATAGGGTACTTGTGAAAGCTTCTCACTCAACATAAAGCTATCCGTAATCAGGGATCTGAATCATCTGTGCAGCCTCTATAAGCAGGTTCTAAAAAGAATTGTACAGAACTGTCTTGTACAGCAATGAGACGATTCTTTTTCAAAGAAGTGAAAATATTCAGACGACAGTATTGACGACAGTGCTCTAGATGCCACTAGATGAAACTGTAGGACTGCCAACTTTCTATTGTACTGCAGGAACTTATTTTCCTTGCATATTTTGGAGAGCAACTCAGACCTAAACTATATGTGGCATGCAGTCATGTGTATCTTTCTGTTTATGGGGAAAAACCATGACTCAGTGGTAGAGCATGTACTTTGCATTCAAAAAGGGCCCAGATTCAATCCTTCCAGGGAGGACTAGGAAGGACCCCTTTCTGAAACCCTGGAGAGGTGCTGACAGTGACAACACTGAGCAGAGCTGATGGACTCATGGTCTGGCTTGGTCTACACCAGTAATTGGTGGTTCTCCTGACACCCTTTAAAACTGAAGTCACACGCTACCTCTTACGCTTTTCCACCTGTATGAAAATAGAACATATTTTCATCTACAATGAAAAAACAGCAGCTGGGGGAGGCAATTTTGAGGAGGAAGACTGATGAAGTTACTCTACCATTCCCCTCTATCCCTCTTCTTAAGCACTTTGTATTCTGCCTTTGTTTGTTTGTTTTTTAATGAACACAGAATAAAGATTTACATAACTGTGGTCATGTCTAGTTTGGGCCCCCACATTGAACTATGACAGACACATGTTTCATTACACTACATCAGGCTGATGGGCTAGCATTTCCATGTATTTTGTGCAGCAGATATACCTAAGATCACCACCTTTTCCCCAAGCGGGGCCTGACAACAGAAATGACACAGGTGATGCTTTTTTATGGCATGACGATAATATTACAAAGAAGTCTTCAACTGCTTAATTTCTGCTTTTAAATGTTATTAAAAGGTGCAGGAACTGATCCCAGCACTGCCGCACAGTGAGTCATGGGGCAAGATTCACTTCCTTTCCCCTTCTTTCCTCAGAGGATGCTCTGCACAGGTAAGTTACCTTGCCTCCAGTTGCCAGTGATGTTGCTCAGACGCAGGGAAACGCACCACATGATGGTGTCATAATGCAACTGGGGATGGATGGGAAAGTTATCACTTCATGCAATGCTGAAGTAGCAGATGGGCCATAGAGAAAGAGAAAGAAGATGGCACTGCAAGAGTTACTGAGGCTAAAAAGACTACAAACTGTCTGAGATGCCAGTTACAGGAATTTAAGTGCACTGTACACTGCTGCCTTATGCTACACAAGTATGCTCACACCGTTTAATAGTACATTTATTTTATATGCGAGAAAAACAGAAATGTTGTAGAATGTGTGTAACATGGCACTAAACTTTCATTTGGTATCTAAAACATTCACAAAAACAATATATTGGCATGTCGAATGTGCAGATTTTCTGTAACCAATAGTAACCAATAGTAACATGTGAATTATGACATACTTTCATTTCTTTCAGACTTGAAAAAGAATCCCACCTGGCTTAGAATTTTAACATTTGTTATAATCAAGAATATGAGATTGTATCATTCAGGACCCAAGAAAAAATAATTTATGCAACAACAACAAAATCACACAGGTATTTAAAGTCCTGTGACAACTGTTACATTAAGAAAAATGCAAAAATAGAAGGAAAGGTTAGAGAATATAACAGCTTTCCTGCCTTTCCCACACAAGTCTTCATGTATATACTTACATTAAATTCAGATACCAGATCCACACTAGGCTCTCCTCTAACCATTATTTAGATTAGCACCTAAACCATGATCTGAAGCTTACAAATTTAAAAGAGTCAAGCTAATGCATACTTTGAACAAAGATGAAAGAGCATGACTATCTACTACTGCATATTGCTGCATATAGTTATGATCAGTTAATATGTGAGGGGAGAGGCATTCACATGGTCTGATTAGTACCTAGGTCATCAACATTTGCCATCCGTTTCCTCCTCCTTTCCTGAACCTTTTAGATATTTCTTTCTAACACAAGAATGCCTAAATTTGGGTTCCATTACTTCCAATTAGTATGAATAGAATATTCAACTGCTTGAATTTTCAACAGGAACTTTGACATATAAATTTAGAGCCCCAAACCCCCACAAAAACCCACAACTCATTGTGTGGTAACCATATAGCTTAAGGGAAATTATTTTCCTATGAAGCTCAAAAGTGAGATCTAATATCCTAATATTGAGTGGCAAGCTGATAAGAAATACTGGATGAGACTGAGCAGAGCCAAATGTAAAAGAGTGAACAATTATGGTAGGGCATATTCGAAGAATAGGGACGATATAATTGTAAGGAACTTGGAAAGAAGTGTATGAGAAAGACTTAATTATATAAATTGAGTTAAAAGGAATGTTGGGACACCCATAGACCTGAAAAGGTTCATACAACACAGAAAAGTTTAGAGAGTTAGCAAAGATCCGTCTACAAACTGAAACATATAAGAAAATCAAACTCTTGAAAGTCTTATTATGCCTTTAAATGGAGAAATGTTATGTGCTTGGGAGGGGGAGAAGCACTAGTACAGACAAGCTGTTCACTATTTTAGAGCCAAAAATTTGGGAATTATATATGACACAGATTACCCATTCAAAACTACACCAGACTTAAGAGTTACAACAAAATAATACATTTTGAAAAGCCTTTTTTAAAGAGATAAATTAATGTCATACCATCCAAAGGGGGGAAAATGCATTTGAAATACTGGTTTGCAAAAAGTATTCATGTGCAAATATGAAGAGCTTGGAGCAAATTGGATGATTGCTTTTGTATTTCTGGAGACGAAACCTAAAACACACAACACCAATCATTTATTTCTGTGTTGTGTGCACGCACATGTGTGTACTGTTGCAACGTCTGGCTTGCTATAGGTTTAAACTTACTACAATCACTCTAAAACTCTCTGCAAGCTAATTTAAAACCTGCCATCTTCACAACTACTGTGTGAGGAATGCTTTTTCTAACTGGTATTTAATACTGGGGCTTTAAATATAACCTCAAACCCTCTATACTAGAGCAGGGGAAGGGAGGGGTGGGAAACAGAAGCTAACCGGCCCTAATAAAATGCAGCCTGTTTCTTTAAGGAAAAGTGTTACAGGAAAAGCACAAGAAATGCTACAATCTCCACCCACTGTCATATAAGAACGGCTGCCTACACACACCACACACCCTGCATCCTGAAACCCACCCTCCTTTATAAACCCAGTGCATTAGGTGATGGAAATTCAGGATATGCAACCGCAGTACCTCCTAAGTCATCTCTAGAAAGGCTAACACACGGCATTTTTGTGACCTCTGCCCACTTGATCATGCTTCCCTCTTATATCCTGTGAGTGGGCTGTCTAATCGAGTCAGTGCTTCCCACAGCTCTTGCAGACTGCAGCAGCCGCCCTTCTCCTGGAAATAACAAGCCCTGGTCTTTTAAACATTCCATTCTTCTCTAACACCAACAATGTTTCCTGCTCCCCTTCCCTTCCAAACACCAGGTCTTTCAATACCACGCTCCCAACTCCTGACACCTTTCTTTAGCTATTTAGTGCTTTTAAAACTGTATGCTTGGGGTCTCGAGTAGTTCTTTACACCTTCTCAGTTCTGAACTGCAGCTATAGAAAACGTATTTTACTTATACCCCTGAAGTTCTCTGTTAAAGAATTAATACACTTATCAGTAATAATGATTAGGTAAGTGTGCAATGATGGCTGATTAGACTACTGTTAGCCCCTTGCTATATTTATCATTACCCCCCTTGCTTCTTCTTCCCCTCATTTTCAACCCCCTTGTTAATGTATTATTCCTTGTGTTATTTACATTGTATGTAAAACAATAAAAATAATGGTTTTGTAACATTTTTACAGGGGGAAAAAAATCAGCAAGGCTTTCCCTGCACTACTGTTTTCAGACTAATACCAGCAGTGTTTCATGGCATCAAATGACTATTGGGATATTCCCAAAGGAGTACCAATAAGAAAGAAAACAAATGACACTTCAGCAGGAGGTAACAGCTAGTTTCTCATATGTTAATGGCAGATCCACACAATACAGTTAAAGCACATTCAATGCACATGAGCACCTCAAAGAATCCTTGGAACTGCACTTTCCCCCTCACAGGGCTATATATCCCAGCACTCTCAACAAACAACACTTCCCAAGATTCTTTGGGGGAATTAATGTGCTTTAAATATGTATTTAATGTGCTTCAAATGTATTGTGTGGATCTGCCCTCATTCATGCTGGTAAACAGCTACCCATTTTGCGAAGGTTTCAAGTTATAGGTTTTTGTTTTCAAGTTTTCCCATTTGTAAGAGAGATCAGGGATATGAGTACGAATCAGTAAACAAAGCCACCAATATGTCATGTGGCAAAGTCCATTTGATCTATTATGGTTTACCAGTTCTACAATGTAGATGACACACCACTATATTATAATTACAGTATTAAAATTACAGTGCCTAAAACAGCCTGGGCAACAACTCCAGCCACAATGAAAAATAAAACTCAGAAGTAAAGTTTTCCCTCCTTCATATTTATATTCCCTCTTCATATTTATATTCCATCCAACAACTTGTATTACTCTGTAAACTCAGTGGCTTATCATTCTCTTGTGTTGATGTACCAGGCAGTGAGATATCTATCTATCTACCTATCTATCTATCCATCTATCCATCTGTTAGAATGAAAACTTCTTACCCTGATAACTACAAAAAGCCAAGCTGGCTATAAGATGTCAATAGCATCTCTGTGTGGTCTTCAAGTGCTGAATGAGATGCTTACCCCTTAAGTTAACACAGTGAGGCGAAGCATTGTGGCATCTCTTTTGGAGAATAGGAACTGAGGCTGAAAGCTAGCAACACACCCAAGGCCAATCAGGTTCAAATTTCAGTTCTGCTATAAACTCACCAACCCCAGCATTCTGTCTTCCTAGAGTCTATTAAAATTCACTTTGAGCAGGTCGGCATAGGCAGCAGAATGTGGTAGTGAAGTCCTTAGTACATTGAATCACTTCAGATTCCCACTATAGGTTGGGAAAGCACATTTTTGAAAGCTTTGTTCAAATAAAATACTTCATGGAGGTAGAAAACTAGCTCAGCAGGGAACACACTGGACAGGAACCTGTGTCTCTCTGATGTACTAGGCTTTTTGTTTTTGTTTGAAAGGAATGTTTATCCTTGGGATCATTTTTAAAAAGTAATATATTACCTATAAGTCTGAAACAGTATGGTCCATGCTTAAAAACACAGGATTCTACCACCTAATTTAGTTGCTTGAGTAGACCAGGCATCTGTTTATAATTCAGGTAATATGACCATATATCAGGTCCGTTAAGAATTACTCCAGCTTTTACTCTAAGCACACACTATCATTTACTTATTTTTTTTTTATCGTAAATGCACGTTTCTTCTTTGCAATATGAATTCTTGGACATATTTGTTATTGGAGATTGAAATGGGAACAGGGGACCTGTGGCCTGTTGGACAACAACTGCTGTCATCCCTGACCATTGGCCTGGCTGGCTAGAGTTGATGGGTGTAGTGTGGTATAGTTGTTAATAGCAGTAGACTCGTAATCTGGTGAACCGGGTTCACATCTCTGCTCCTCCACATGCAGCTACTGGGTGACCTTGGGCCAGTCACACTTCTTTGAAGTCTCTCAGCCCCACACACCTCAACAGAGTGTTTGTTGTAGGGGAGGAAGGGAAATGAGAATGTTAGCCGCTTTGAGACTCCTTCGGGTAGTGATAAAGCGGGATATCAAATCTAAACTCTTCTTCTTCAACATCTGGAGGGGAGCGGGTTCCCAATTCCTGGGCTAAAATATAGTCTCAGTGAAATCAATGAGACTAGATGCTTAGGCGCCAGTCAAAAATATTCCTCTTCTCCCAAGGCCTTTGGCTAGTTACTTTGCTACGTATTTTTGTGTTTCTATATTGTAAACCGCCCTTTATTCCTCAGAGGGAGGGTGTTTAGAAATTTAATAAATAAATAAGTATCTGTGTGCTTATGCTCCCAATTGGTGCACAGAACCTGCTTTCCAGGTCATGTGGCCAGCATGACTAAACCGCTTCTGGCGCAATGAGACACTGTGACAGAAGCCAGAGCACACTGTTACCAGCAGCTCAACACATTATATATATAATCTTACATGCATCATACACACACACACACACACACACAGTATATATATGATACATGTATGATTAGGCCTTATTGCACTTTAAGGAATGCTGTTATGTAGCACTGTTTTAAAGCATTTTAACCACTGTAACCGGTGCCAAATAGCAGACTGCTTCAGTTTGTGTTATAAATAAGGACACTATATAGAAAACCTTTCTTGTCTGGAGTAATCCAGTGGCAACAATCCAGAGGAAGGAACAGTAAATTAAGCCTCTCTCCACATTCCTATACACATACATTTAGATTATGTAACTGATGGGCAGATTGTGTGTTACAATATGATGCCTGTTGTGGCAGGAACCAGACTTTTGATTCTGAATACCTGGTTGTCACAGGCAATGATTTAATGCAAGAAAACGTCACTAGTTCACTAGCTTGTCTGAGAGTCTAGTATAATATATGGCAGGCTCTGCCCTGTGGTTTTCTTAGGGTTCTTTTGTTTGTTTGGCTATTCTTTGGCTATTAATTGCACAAACATTTTGCATCTTAGGTAACCATATTTCCTTTCTTCATATGGAGCTTGGAATCATTCCTGAAAAGGTGGTAATAAACATCAGCTTGCAATTATTCAGGATGTTATGCATGCATACTATTCCTGTACATTCCCCAAGAGCTTTTTAAACAGAAGGAAGAACTCTCCAACATCAGTAAGTAAAGACACACATTAGTTGTTCCCTTGGCTCATGATTTGCTACCAAAGAATGTATAAGCACTTCCCACATTAACTCCAGAAGGCACAGAAACACACAATCAAATCCTAAGGAGATCCTGGAAAGATTAGCATTTCTGAGAGATGTAGAAACTTCTAAGCAATGTATGAAATTTTATTCTGCTGTAAGTGAATGCCTTAAAACATCCCATGAAGTCAGGATAGCACGAGAGTCTCACACTTATAACATCTACATCTTAATACACATGTGTGTACATTTGTTTTCCAAAAAGAATATGGTAAGAATCCCTGAGCAGTTCCTTTCCAACAATCTCTTTCATATTCTACCTTCCAGTTTGCATAGAACTATGTGGCACTTTTCAAGCACCACAGCAGCATTAATGGAATCTTAAATGTTTTGTTTATGCTCTTCCTCCCCATATTCTTCCCCTTTTCTACTGTTTACCCTCTTCTCACTAAAGCTGACTTAAATGCCTGTTTTAAATTCTGTCTTTTTTCACAGTTAAAAGCACACTATTCATGCTTTAAAAATGAACACTTTCACACTTTCAATTAGCATGTATAAATTATGTTATGTATAAATTATGTTATGCTTTCGGTTGAAAAAATGTTTAAAGTGTTTTAAAAGCTTCCCATATAAACAGTAAAACGGCAAATCTTAATCAATGTTTATTAAATACCAAAACCTTACAGTACACTAAGTACACCACTAGGTGGCACTACATATAATGCAGCCACATCAAATTATCACTAAATGTATAAATTGATTTTCTTTTGTATCAAGCAACTCTTACGACATCTGTTTAAAACAGGACATTGCATAGCAGCATGAAAGAGGCAGAACTATTTGGATTTATATAAATATACCAATGTTGAATTCACATGAGTTTATACAGGTTCTTTGGTTAACACAATTTAATTATTTAAATCAATTATTTATATCCACCTGCTTGAAGATACACTGTGCTTTCAAATAACTTGATAAGGTGTCAAACTCAGGTGTTTACTCAATTTATCAACACCACAACATAGTTAACTACAGTGATACCTCGGGTTACATACGCTTCAGGTTACAGACGCTTCAGGTTACAGACTCTGCTAACCCAGAAATAGTACCTTGGGTTAAGAACTTTGCTTCAGGATGAGAACAGAAATCGTGCTCTGGCGGCGCAGCGGCAGCGGGAGGCCCCATTACCTAAAGTGGTGCCTCACGTTAAGAACAGTTTCAGGTTACGAATTAAGTACTTAACCCGAGAACGAATTAAGTACTTAACCCAAGGTACCACTGTACTGCAATCTCCTTTTAAATGACATTTGTCTAACTTTCACTCTCATGCTTGAATATTCACCACTAGTATTTTTTAAAAAAATCGCCTACCAGGCTTTGCTGGAACTGCAAAGCAGCTTAACCTAAACAGCATATATTTAATTTTACTAATCACTACACCATTACTTTCTAACCTTTGGTACAAAATTGTGAATATAAGCAATATATTTAGTGTAACTATAAATTACTCCCCAAACCTCCTTATATATTGTATCATTCTTATAGAAACAGAACCTCAGAGATTAAAGTGTGTGCACACATTTGTATAGATTCTGAAGGTAAAACATTGTTGCTGCAACAAGTTTGTTAGCCAAGTAGAAAAGGCTTAATCATCCCCTATTTTCATTGTTAGATTTCTGTCCCCCTCTCACCTATTACTAGCACAGCTCAAGTACCTAAACATGAAATTTCCTGTTTATACTTGTGCTATAACTGAATGAATCCTGCAGATATCCCTGATATGCACCAACCTGCCAGGAATTTTCCCTAAAAAGGCATAAAGTGAGGTGGGGAGGGGGCAAACAGAGAGAAACTTACTGTGTTTGACAGAAGACCAATTTTTGCTCTCTTACATAAAATCAACCACCTGAACTTTACTTGCTCCCAAACATGTGTTATGGTTTCAAAATTTATAACATTTCCCCCCAAATCCTCAAAAACTTTTTCAAAAGGCCTTAATCACTGCTTTGAGGTAGCAGAACCTCTTAATTAGGGAAGTAATCGTGGTTTACACGGATGCACACATAGACACACACATGCTTTTCATTCCCTTCCTTGGTACTTAATATAGATAAAACAAGGCACAATACATTGGGAAGCTCCAAATGAACTGTGAATCTATTTTTAAATTATACCTTTAGCATGCACTTACCCAGTGTCCATCTTTGTGGGTGCTAGCCTTTGTCACTGCCACCAGCAGATGGTGACCTAAAAGATAGTATGGGCAATATATTCCCAAAGGTAGCAACATGTTCTATATATTGCATATGGCGGGAGGGGGAATCAAACATGCTTCCAGTCCCAGAGCCCTATAAACAGCAGCTTGTTTCCTCTTCCTTCTCTTCAACTACAGAAGGAGACGATAACCCTGTCCCTCAAAGCTGAGCTACACTTTCCGATTTCTCTGATGAACTATTCCTTAGGCAAAACACCCAACATAATCAATGGGTCCATGGAGATAACTTGATAAATTGAACCACCACTTGAAAATGACATGTACCATACAAAATACTTGGGTATTCTAACTAGTTTGCATCTAGTTTTCCAGTGCAGAATATCCACACCTTACAATTCAACATACTTTGAAGGTTGATTATTAAAACAAGAATCATGTAGACATACCTTAGAATAGGTCAGGCTCAGATGAACGTCTAAAATACATAACCTCCAGTAGCAAAACCTGTAACCTCAAGTTGCAAATCCCTTTTTTCACTTCCTATGCCACACTAGACTACATGACAGTGGCTCTCCAAGCTTTTACTGTGGAAATCCACAAGCAGAATGTAATCTTTGTTGAGGGCCAATCCTCTGTCCTGTCCCACCCTCTGACTCAGATGGTGTTCTTTGTCTCTAGCATCCAGTGCTGGAAGTCTGGTGATTGACTCATGAGAGGATGTTGACTTACCATTTGGGAAATCACCACCACATCATTAAAACAGCTACAACCATTTCTTGATAGAGGCAGGCAACTTCCCTGAAACACACCTCACTTTCCCCTTCAAACAGCTTTCTTCCTATGACGGGTGACTACATGGAACATGACCTTGGGAAAACGGGGAGGGGCATGGGCCGCTGCACTGATCTCTGCAACCACCATAACATCAATTTTAAAAGGCATGAAGTATCATGTGACTACAGTGTGCAGTAGAATCAATAATCTATACCAAATGCCTCAACAGTCCTTACACAGATTAGGCTAGGAAACCTAGTTTCTAGGCACTAAATGTGGCCCTCCAAGCCTCTACCTCTGCCCTTGTTCAGCATCCTCCTTAAGTGTGGCTGGAATGTGTGTTTCCACTCTGATAATAATGATGCTTGCTTGTCTGGAGAGGATAGAGAGCGGGGATGTACAAACTAGCCTACTGTATGAAGGCAAAATTTGTCTTTGTTGCTCCATCCACTTTTTCATTTCACTCCACACACTGTCACATGACCCCTCCAAGGTTGCTCAGAAGGGAATGTGGCCACTAGGATGGAAATTTAGTTTACAGACTAAAAAACAGGCAATCAGAGAACTCCTAATGTTGTCTCTTGTTTTTTAGGAACACCTTTCAAAATAGGCCAAAATGCATAACACTTTTAAGAAAATAGATTAAATGCCTCTTTATGATTAGAAATTTCTTGTAGAACATCTGTGTGGAATCTTGCCTTCAGATTGTTCCTCAAAACCCATCTTCTACATTAAGCCTTTGGCGCAATCTTCTAGTACTCAACCCCTACCGAATATAAACTTAATTACACATGGCTGAACTAACTGCACATTCCCATTTACCCTCTTTATTTCTCCCCTCCTTACACTGCCCATGGCAACCATTTTGTGCTGACACTCATGACACTTTTATCAAAATATGGGTACTGGCACCTCATTTGTTTTTGAGGCAGACTCTACAGCAAAAGCTTATTTCATTTTTTTTCTACCTAAATAATAGTCCTCTGAGGTTCACAAACATAGGGCAAGCTTCATCAACTTGCACTTAGTGTCTCCACACAGTGGAGTTGCAGAAGGGTGAGGAAGAGCTCTGCTGAGTAAAATCAGGGAGTATTCCCTGAAAAATATTCAGCACTGTGCTGCAGCAAGGAAAGTCACTTTGTATGTTCATCTTTTGATGTGACAAAAGCAAAGTACAGTGGGCACCTGCATTTATTACTTTATTCTCAAACTTAAAATAAACATAGCAATAAGTGACAAGATAACCTACTTCACCACCCAACTTCTCTTTTAAAAAGGGGTAAGAAAAATTAGAATAAATAAATAGCATTGTTACAAGTTTTTAATTTTCCAGTTTGGAATATTTTCATCCTCAGCATAGGCAACTGGCCCTGAAAACACAATTGATAAAAGCATCTTGCTAAAATGAGTCACAGCTCTGGCTTGGGATTTTTTTTTTAAGGTGTCCTATTTCTTTGACTCATACTTTCATTCCTGGGAATTCCCCTTCAAACATTAATTTTTGAAACAGTTGCAGTACGACAAATAATTTTATGACAAACGAAAGAAGCATTCAACACCACCCATGAAAACCTCAAACCTATATTTATAAACAGAACTCTTCCAATAAATCATTTACAAACACGACAGACAAAAACAGATTTAGAAAAATACAAGGTGTTTTCTAGTCTACCAAAACAAGGTACAAGTGGAACATGCAACAGTGTTTGAAGAAGATGCTTCATACAGTTGTCACATGGCAACGACTACAGATTAATAATAATAATAATAATAATAATAATAATAATAATAATAATATTTTCTTAAATCACTGATGAAAGTCTTTTATGCAACATACTGTAAAGGAAGGCAATTTCACTTACCTGTGATCTAAGGTATTTTCCTCCCATGAGCTGGATGATATCAGTTGATCACCTGACTGTAGTTTGAGCGAAGGAAGTCAGCTGACCATCTTTTCAGGCTGTCTTAAGCTTTAATACTTCATAGTACTTTGTCATGTGAGTCAGGACAGAACCAGCTGTCACTGCTTGGGGGGGAAGGGGGGGAAATGGGCCCCTCTGTTCCCACCCTCTTCCTCCTCCTTCTCTCTTTCTCCTACCCCGCCCCCATCCTCATTCCCTGATCCATTCTTCCAACTTTTCGCTCGTTCACAGCTTGCATGGCTGGGGTCTCTCTCTCTCTCTTTCTCAGCCGAATTCCACAACATACAAGCATTTCTCTGCATCTTCAGGTTTCTACACACACACACCACCACCACCACCGCCACCAAGAAATCAGAGAAAAGGAGAAAAGGCACCACATTCCACAACTCTCAGTCAGCCCTGGCAAGCTATGAGGCATTTTCAGTCACACAGTACAAAATGCATTAGTCAGAGCTGAAAGACCACACACTTTGTACCACTACCATGCGCTCAGAGAGTGGTCTGAGCTAAGCTATGGGGGGGAGGGGGGAGCAGCTTCCTGTGCCCTTGTCATTTTACCTACATTTCCCTGTTTAGGAAAAAGACATTCAGCAGAAAAAGGCAACAGCTGGAGTCCACTGTAAACGCATCTGCTTAATGTTGAGACGTCTCAGCCGCCCTATTCAGATGTCACGTCCTTTACGTAAACACCTCCCCCCAACAAGCAGAATGTATTGTTCCGAAGACTGCAAGACATTATCTAAATCAGAACTCCTATCTCCCCGATGTTTCGTACTTTAGGAAGCCGAGGAAACAAAAGTGGAAGTAATGCTACGTGGTTCAGATTTTCCGAAACCACATATATTTTCAGTCCTATTCTTTGCCTTGTTAACTTGTATCCATAACACTATATATATATATATATATATATATATATATATATGCGCACATTTAAAAACATTTATGACGTTTTCTGGGATTTCTGAGACAAGTTCTCTCCCCACCCCTTCAGAAACTCTGACCAGAAGAGAGACTTCAGTATAAAGCAGAAAAATGAAAAGAAAATGCAACATTCCTGATCCAAATGATCTAATCGTTCATCCATCTGCTCTCTGCTTTGCCCCCCTCCTCTTGCTTCCCCTTATCTGTTGCCTGAAGGCAAGTTAGCGCTATGCATACCAGTTCAGAAGGAAATCAAATGCCACTTTGAAAATCACACTCTTGGGGAGAAAACCAAGCACATGCAGTTGTCTGTTAGAGAAATACTTGCACACAGCCCAGACTTGGCATCCCCGTTCTGCACGGGGACTGTCCCTAGTGGACTCAGTTACTGTCACTGGCTTTTTAAAAATGAGGAGGAGGAGGAAAGTACCATTTGCACTAGGATTTTTCTTTTCTTTTCTTAAGAAAGCACAGGTTTTTAGGACTGAAAACCTGATAGCAAGCATAAGAAAGAAACTTTTTTTCTCATTTCTGCATGCTTACAACAGGTAAGGTTTCTGCAAGCAAATTTTTTAAAAATGAAAAAAGCAAATGAGATATGAATATAAATATTTTCCACATTTCTATATCACATAGTCTCATACTCCAGTGCCTTGATAATGTAAGCACTCACAACTGGCAAAAGACAGAAACTAGTTTTCTTAAATGTACCCCGGAGAAGTAAAGCGATGACAGGGTGATATCCTGTACATGTCTACTTTGAAGTAAGATCTACTAAGTTCAATGGGATTTAGTGCCAGGTAAATGGATATAGGATTGCAGTCTAAAGCTACTCATTTGGCTGATCATAGCAATAACTCTTTGTTTTGCTAATTTATTTTCCTAACAAAGAATCAAGGACAGGGGGTTAGAATAGTGAGATTCTCCAGCAATCAGGAAAAACTAGCATCTTTATTTACTTCCAAAACCAGTAGTAGCTGCTGCTATGTAGCTTTTTAGCAAAGGAAAGCTATTGCAGAAGCAGCTCTGGTACTGAATAATGTCAGCATTATAATAAAAGCAGCCTGATGAATAATTCATGGAGCAAGGAAGTACCCTAGCATTAAATGGCAATAGATAAAACGGATCTTTCACTCCCCAATTCCGCTAAATATTTAAGTGGAACACTGAAGTCATGCAGACTGAGTACGATGGAAAAACATTTTGGATCATTTTGTATGATACTAGCATTCTTTGAGCAATATTTGAAAGAATGGGAAGTAGAAGAAGAAGAAGAGTTTGGATTTGATATCCCGCCTTTCACTCCCTTTAAGGAGTCTCAAAGCGGCTAACATTCTCCTTTCCCTTCTAAAAGCAGAAGACAGGAACTGCAGTTGCCATGGCCAAGGCTCCTTACATGGAATCCCTAACCAGTACAATGCTTTGCTCATCTAAACTTTGCAACTGAAATAGGAGGAATGCACACAATATAAAACAGCTATTAGGCTACATAATAGATATACAGACATAGGACTCAATCTGTGACACTCAGATGCCAACTGTGTTCCATTTCTACTCCGGAAGCACCATTATAGGAGCTAAAAAATATCATTCACAACATCAGGGATCAACTCATTCATCTCTTCACCTTTCAATGTTATAAATGCCTATGGTTATCTTCCCAGATCTATGGCCTAAGGTTAGTCTTCAATCTTAAATTTGAGAGCTTTAGTAGCTGTGTTGACCAACACTACCTGAACAGGAATGTGAAACCCATTCAGCTTCCAAGTATCTGCTGCTGGGCTAGAGACAATTGAGAGTAAACTGTAAAAACCACCCAAGCTCTATAGATCAAATAAATTCTTAAGAGCAGATGGCAGAGAAGCAAAGTACTACTACTTCTCTTTAATACAGAAAATGCAGGGTATTTGCCTCCCCTAGACAAATGTTTCTTGTCAAAGTGTGCATGGTCTAATGTGACCTAAATACTGAATAGCAATATGTCAGATAATAATAAAAACTCCAGACATTTTTTGGGGAGTGGGGAGTAAACTTCCACATGAGAGATTCCCAACTTCCTATAATTTCTTTGGAATGATAATTTTTCAGCACCTTCTCTAAGAGCAAACCATATTGGCTCAGTTGAGCTCTGTCCACGTTCTTTATTTAAAAGCAGTGTGAACTTTCACACTACTAACTAACCACCTGTCAGGATTTCATCTGATTGTGACACCAGTGTAAATCAGACTTGCACTATTTTATCCCATCTACCTTTCAGCTTTTAGAACTGCATTTTTCAAGTTGTTCAGGTTCAGGTGACACCATTTCTATTTGTTTTGCCCACCAGAGGGTAACACCGGATGAACTGAAACCCTCCTTCCACTAAAATGTTACTGGGCTTTTTAAACATTTGCTTTTGTTTTCTTAGAATACCTTGATTGATTACAGTAACTCCCTGTTCTGAATTTCATCTAAACAAAAATTCTAGGTGAGTCACTTCTGCCCAAAGTATGACATGAGCCTAACAACACTCTCCCTACCTGTGCTCCCCAGTACAGTGGTACCTCGGGTTACAGACACTTCAGGTTACAGACACTTCAGGTTACAGACTCCGCTAACGCAGAAATAGTGCTTCAGGTTAAGAACTTTGCTTCAGGATGAGAACAGAAATCGCACAGCGGCAGCACGGCAGCAGCGGGAGGCCCCATTAGCTAAAGTGGTACCTCAGGTGAAGAACAGTTTCAGGTTAAGAACGGACCTCCAGAACAAATTAAGTTCTTAACCCAAGTTACCACTGTATTTGGTATTCATAGGCATCCTGCCTCTGGTCCGGGAGATAATATAACCATCCTAGATAGTAACCATTCACTGTTAAATAACAGTGTCCGCATAAATTTGTCTAACCGCCTTATAAAGCCATCCTAGTGGATGGCTATCACTACATCTTTTTTGTAATAATAATAAATATAAATAAAAATGTGCACCCCACCCCCGAGACCAGTCCATTGTAACTATCCAACCTCCCAAAATTTCCATGCCTCTTGCGATGGTTTGACCCCTTTCTGTTTTGACAGTACTGTACAAATTCTACAAACACCTTCCATATCTTCTCAAAATCATTTCTCCTGCATATTCCCCACCTTATTATAATAGTACGTGTTAATTTATCATTAATAGCTATATCCCACACCTCTTTATACCACTCTTCCATTTTATATTCACCTTGCCCCTCCCACTTCCTAGCTATAATAACTCGTGCAGCTGTCAATAAATTTGTGATCAAGTCCTTCATAGCCTTACATCATTACATCTCAAGGACAATGTTACCTCGATATCAGAAAACAAATGTAAGTACCCAACATGTAGGCAAGGGCAAAAGTTGGCAGCCTCCTAGATGTGTGAGAAGCACAGAATTAGTTACTCTGAAAGCCACTGCCCTCCTCTCGTATCCTGAGAGGGATAGCCCCTGAGCAGTCCCCCATAGTCAAAACTCATCTTACAAGTAATGTTTGTAGTTTTTAATGACAATAATTTTAATTATAACAACAAAGAAATTTAGATAGGATCGTGGTTCTTGGAAACAGAATGCACTCCTATTTCTCAATTAAAATTAGAAAACCTTTTGACATTGTTTTTCTGTAATAAGTAAAAGCAAACATGCTGCTGCCGAGAGTTATGCTCTAACTGTCAGGTTCCCCAGATGCATATTTAACTTTCACACTTTATACCAGTGATTTCCACAGCAATCACGCAACATTTCCTACAGCACTCATAATGTATACTACTGCCCTTAGTCATCATTGGTTTCTGCAAAATCCACCACTAGGTATTTTTCAATGATCCTTGCCGTGTTATCACTCTCTCCTTCAAAAGAAAGTATTTTGTAACCATAGCAATATTTCCCCACCCTAATATTATTTCCCACTGCTTGTGCTAGATTTTTGCACTTAGCAACCACAGCAGCCCTTGTTCTAAACTGCTAATATCTCCAACATTTAGAAGCTCTTTAACAAAATAATTCTTATATATAAACACCGCATTCCCAGCTTTATGCTTTCAAACAAATCTAATAATCAACCTATATCGAGAATGAATTCAGCATTTATATTATAAAATGTGATGTTTCAAAAAATATGTTACACCTGTTTTTATCTTTTTCATATCCATGTGGCTTCCTGCAAGACTCTATCCCATATTTTGTTAAAGGTGATGGATTACGAATACTGAAATTTGTAGATCAATACATTATCATTACACTTACTTTAGAGGGTCCAAAAGTTTACAGTGCATTTAATGTTATTTCCTCTCTCACTCTTGCCTTGTTCAGGATTCCAAGAACTTAGAATTTCAAGTTCAGTCTAACCCAGCAGCACAAATGGAATAAATATTTTTAGTAGCCCAAATTTTCCAGCACCATCATGCCCTGAGAACTATCAACACTTTTCACCACCAGATAGTTCGCTGCTTTCAGCTGCAAAACAACCCACATTCCACAAACCACCTGCTCCTCTGAATTTATCTAAAGGCCCCCAAGTCTGTAATGCAAAGTTTCCCTTCTCAAGCAGCATTTCAGCCACAAGGATAAGAAGAGCTCCATATATTTTCCTCTATAAATGGAGAAGAAGGTGGGATAATGCAATATTGACTGCGGAAATGTCCCATGGGGGAAAGGCTTAAGCACCTTCTTTCCCTTTCTGGCTGGATTTGCAGTTTTTACTGCTGTTATTCTGTTTTTTTAAAAAAAGCATTCTAGAAATCATTGAGGGGGCACCCCAAAGGCAAATATTCTTGCCCATCTCTCTCCCTGTTCTACAGAGTTTAGTCAGAAATCAGAATCACTCACCTCTCGTCTAAAATACGACAGTTCAAGCTATTTGTACTACTTAAATCTGCTGTATAAATCCAGCTGCAACCAAGCTTTCTGGGATTGTGCACACATTTTAATAGTTTCCTATAAAATCCATATATAACAGTAACTGTATTATATTATGCACTTTAGTCTGTTAGATATCATACACATTATTGAACAAATGCACCCTTGTTATGTATGCTAATACTAAATGAAAGGAATTTATTTAAAAACAGTTTTAGAAGGAAACATTCCACTCCAGCAAACGCTTTTCTGACAAGTCAACATTCATTGTTTATAATGTGAGGATAAAGGTAAGATGCATTAGAGAGGAGAGGAGAGGAGAGGAGAGGAGAGGAGAGGAGAGGAGAGGAGAGGAGAGGAGAAAAGAAGAGAAAAGAAAAGAAAAGAAAAGAAAAGGGAAGGTTAGATGCCATATAATCTCAAAAACAACTTTAGGGAACATTTTCCTTCAGCTACCAGCAACAGCATTCATAAATTCAGCTGAATGCAACGCAGGGGAAAAAATTCACAAACTCTATCCCCCAATGCTCTTAACTAATGTAGAATTTTCCTCAAAAGCTACTCATTTTTTCTTTCATTTTATTAAAGATTTGCAGAAATTGAACTTTACAAACATGTAAGAGCTTATTATTTGCCTGAGAATGCTAGTGAAATACTTCTTTATTTCCTTTATAAATGTCTCATAATTATCTACAGTTGAACCTCTAAAGTCTCTATTCTGGGGTGCGGAGAAGAGAAATTAGCTGACCCACGAACGCAAATTGAAACCTTAGCATGGATGCTAATGAAACAGCATTCATGCTCTGTTACAGGAGGGTCTACAAGTTCAAATCACTTTGATTTTTATACTTTCTATTTACATTAGAAGCACATGCTGCTTTATAGAAGTGAGTCATGGGCAACTTACACTCACCAGGAACGATGCCTCAATGCCTTCCATATGAGCTGCATCAGGAAGATTTTGGGCATCACATTTTGAGACTTTGTTTGGAGTCTCAAACAAAGGTGTGCTCTCCAAAGCCCACATTCCCAGCATGTTCGCACTCCCGTCTCAGCAACATCTACGCTGGCTTGGTAATGTACACAGAATGGAAGACGGCAGGATCCCCAAGGACATCCCCTACAGGGAGCTGGCTTCAGACACTAGGTGTATTTGGCAGACCACCTCTGTGTTACAAAGATGTCTGCAAATGTGGCATGAAGGCTGGCAACATTAACCCAACAGTCTGGGAACCCCTTGCAGATGATCACAGTGCCTGGAGACAGTCAGGTTGTGTACCCACAGCAGTGACCAGAGGAGGAATGACTGCTGGGAGGAGCACAGAGAGAAGGAACGCCATGGTGCACCTGTAGCAGCAAAACTGGATGCCTTCAAATGCCCCAGGGGCAACAAAACATGTCTGTCCCACATCGGTCACTACAGCCACAGCAGTTGCTGTAATTCTCCAATGGCTGACATTACCCCCCAAAGGCACACTCTTCCATTAACTCCTGAGACAGACAGATGCCAACATGCAACTACATTAGTCAGAACTATGAATGGTTTGATTCAGTATAAGGCTGTTCTCATACGCTCGATATACCATTTCATAAATTATGTTTTTGCTATCGTCAATTTACTATTATTTTTACACAACAATCAAGCTAACTTTGTGAGTTTTATTGCCAGTTTCAGTATTACATTTGTCTGTTTCCCATTTTCATTAATTTGTTAATTTCCCAGTTCTATAGTGCTTAATTTAATAAACATTTTAGTCCAGGCATCCATACCAATGTGATATGATCTATCGATTATTATTTTCCAAATTTTCCAAATGCAAAATACCGTACTTACAACATTCTGCCTGCATATCCTGAGGAATTGCTTAGGTGGGGAATGAGTTGATCAACAGCTGCCACTTAGGAACCTGATTTCCATATGCTTTGTCCTGCTCATGAGCATAACCAAGCAAGATTTTCCATTCCTCTCTGGGGAATTTCAACTGAAGGGCTGACATATGCTTACTTCACTTTGTCCTACATGACTTTAATATGACTATTTTTTCTTTTCTTTGCAGCTCACTTATTCTTTACTGAAAGGCCTGTACAGAGAAATTCCCTTTTCTCCACCGATGGAATTCATGCAATCGCTTTTTCTTCTAGTTTTTAACAGGCTGTAGTAATTTACATCTGACCTATAGATATCCAGAACAGATTTCCGCAAACAGCAGTCGAGTTCCTGGAAAGTTCTTTGTAGTCAGAACTGCAGCAGTTTCCTCTGCAGCAGCCATGATTGGCTTTGTGTGATGATAGTATTGCACATGACCTTACAGCTGAAGTCTAGGACTGCTGTCGAAGCCAGACTTTCCTTGTGGGAGGAGAAAAACTAGCCCAAAAAGACAACTAGGCAGAAAAAGCAGGATTTTAAAAATAGAAATATGGGCCAAAATGCCTAAAATTCTGCCATTATATCCTATCATATAGCCACTTCTCCTAGTGACTTCTTAATTCTTTTGTATTATTTACTCCAGACTTTTTAAAAAAGCAGTAAATGAAAACCACAGGTTAAGAGCATTTTAAGCCAAACTCTTTCCCCTTTTCTTTTTCTATGCTAGCCTTTATGTATGAAGTAGTATTAATATTAGGAAAATCCACCATGAACCTTAGAATCACAGAGTTGGAAGAAGTCCTGTCTAACTCCTTGTTCAATGCAAGATATCCAGAGCTAGAACATATAACAGTTGGTTGCCCATTTTGCATATCCAATTCTATATCAGTGTTGAACTGCAATCCTGATCCTTTGCTAGTTATGCCACTTATGTGAGGTGAATCAAAATAGGAGGCAAAATAGGAAGTGAATAGCTCTTCCTTACCACCCTTGCCAGGCAGTGTGGCTATCATTTCCTCTTCCTTTGAACATACCTGAGTAATTCCCTTTTCTTGCTCATAACTTCCCTGAACTTGTTCCAGGCTTTAACTTTCCTATGGCTAAAGCTTTCTCCTAAAGCTTTTTTCTTGACACTATCCCTACAAATCTGGGCAACCTGTCCATCATTCCATTTCTTGTAGATGTCCTTTTTATTTTCAGTTCCAAATTTTAAAAACCCAAATCAGCTAATGCCTAAATATTTAGTATGCCTACTAGTGAGTAAGCTCAATTGGGCTCAGCAGGGCTTACTTCTGAGTAAACATGCTTTGGCTTGCACATAATATATATTTGCATCCATAAGATAGTTTCTGGGAAATATTCAAAGTTGCAGAAAATACATTTTATTATAACAGAACTGGTAAGATTGCAACTAGGTTTCAAAAATTATTTGCCATGCTGCATGGGATAGTGCTGAGAAACTTCATCAACTGATTAGCTTATGTGTAATGTGTAGAAAGCTTGCAGGATTTGATTATTTTAAAATGTAGAAAGAAGACTATAGTTCTAATTATTCAGACATTCAAATGCACTATACACGTTTGATATAAAATTTTAATATAAACAACACACCAGCCTGATTTTTCCATCTTTTTATGCTCATAAAATCATTTATACAAGTCAAAAGGTTGCAGAGAACTTCAGTTTCATTGCTCACTTAACAAAAGTGGGGAAATTAAAAGGTGTTTTTTAGAACTGAGCAAAGGCAAAACACAGAATCATAAGCTAAACATATCCCCCTCCTTCATATTACATGAAATCATTTGCATTGATTCTATATTTAGAGAATCTTATGTAAAATGTTAATATGATCATATATACATGATCATATATACAAAAAATCCCTTCACATTCCCATCAAGAAACAAGTTCTCATTTCAGATTGCAAAGATTACCAGTAGCCTGTGGTTGGGTAGGTAAAATCCCCATGGTAAATTACTTCATGTAATCATTACTATGTGAGCCAAAATCTGTAAAAATTTAAAAAAGAAAGAAAGAAAGAAAGAAAGAAAGAAAGAAAGAAAGAAAGAAAGAAAGTCATTTCAGGAAGATGCAGAAATCCCCACACATGCGACAATAGAATTTATTACACATATTTTAGTTTAGTGAAATTCCACACACCAGTCTAGAGGTTCCAAACACTTGGTTTTGGAGGAGCAGGGGAAAACAAATCACTTTATTAAAATGGGCCTTTACCACTGATGAAAATGTAATGTGGATGTTTTAAAATGTTGCAGATACAGTTATGGAGAATAATTAACTTACAACTTGAAAGTTACAAGTTAAAACACAACCTGTAAAATGTAATTCCTGGAACAGACAGAGTGGTGGTGGGTGGAACTGTTTAAAGAACATCAGAAATTGTTTTGCATTTAGGACTTTTTTACACAAGGTTAAAATTCCCTTTGAACCTCTCTTGTGCTATTTATGTATCCGATCATGATTCACACAGATGAAGAAGTGGAGGGGAAGCATTTGTAGTGTGCGTGAGCATTCTGGTCAACTTACATATTTGCAACAAATATGGGAACTCCCCCCCCCCCAAAGGGCACTGGAAGTAGGAGCAAAAAAACAACGGCCAAAAGAGATGCTTTTATTGCAATGCGTTTTGGACCCAACTAGTCCTTCTTCAGAGAAACTGAGAGTAATGATTAGGGAGTTGCAATAGTTCAAATCCCCACTCAGGCAAGAAGCTCACTTCACCCGGTGAGCCACCTTGGGCCAGCCATGCTCTCTCAGGCTAATCTACCTTACAGGGTTGTTGTGGGGATTAAAAGAGGAGCAAAGAACCACACGCATCACATTGAGCTCCATGAAGGAAAATGTGGTACATAATTGTACTTTTTTCAAAAAAGTAAGCATGTAGATGTGCTGTTGCTTCTTTTCTTATGATTGGCCCTGATAATTCTCATTGGTCACGAGGCTGTTGAGGCAACAAAGGAGGCAATAATGGAACCCAGAATTCCTCCATTCCTCTCCTGCCCAAACTTAAAAGGGGATGTTAAAGCAGTTGTGCTGCTCTCTTGCTTCACAGCAGGCCCCTTTGCAGAAAAAAACATATCTAGGCTAAGAATGGTTAGCTGGGGAATTAGCTGTTCACAGATCAAGAATCCTTTTACGGATGCACGAGCTAACTTTTTTCTTCTTACAAATACACAGCCTTCAAAACCTATTAACTACTGTATTTTATTCTACAAATTCCAGGTTACCAGTTTTCAAACAGAGCCCCATTTCAACTGGTAAGTCTCCCACTAACTATCCTTACTGCTTATCTACACACTGGATTTCCCCTTTGATACTATTAGTCAATTGTGAGGTGTTAAAATATGAATTACTGGAAACAAGAGTGTTGGTGTAGCTGGGTGTCGAACTCACTTAATATGTTTTTTGGTAAATAAAATTTGAAGGATGTAAGATTCATTGTTGTTGTTTAGTCGTGTCCGACTCTTCATGACCCCATGGACCAGAGCACGCCAGGCACTCCTGTCTTCCACTGCCTCCCGCAGTTTGGTTCAAACTCATGTTAGTAAGATTATCATAAGGAATATTAAAATCTAGAAATGTGACAAGTAGTAAGAGATACTAGTTCTTTTCCCAAAGACAATTGCCAGTGTTTTTAACCATAAAGTGCTGCATTGTGAAAATAATGAGGAAAGCATGTCTTTCTAGTTTTTTCTGCTCCCTTTGTACAAACGGAATTACCAATGTATATGCCTCCCAAGGTGCAAAGCTCATCCACCTTCCATTCCTGTTGTGATGAACGTAGCTGACTAGTGTCTCATTCAGCAGTCAGCTGGTTTCCAAGGGGGTTCAGTATGCCCTGGAAGGGCTTAACCAGGCAGAGCAATGGGCCATAGCAAAGTGGATTATGCTTTTGATGCAATTCTGCAGTTTAGAAGTTACATAGCTGCGCACTTCAAAAATGAAGCACAATATTTGTAAGATTTCAGTACTTTTTTGTATTCTAAAACAAGTTACATTGTCCATGGGGGTCTGTAGTAATAATAAATTATAATAATAAATACAAAATCAGAAGTACCAGCTAACAGAGTGGGACACAGATTCAGTTAGTTTTGGAATAAAAAGGTAAGCTACGCGTTCTGTGTTCTTTACAACCCAAAGGAATTAGTGAAGTTTAATAACTGATGAGAGTGAAAAATTATATTCTGACAGTTTCTTTTCCAGAATGCCTTTAATAGGAGAGGGTACACCAAATGTAACATTCACTAAGGAGGAGAACACATATGTGCTGACATACTGTTCTTTATTAGCAAGCTTCCATTTCAGTCAAATGGAGCCAGTGATCAAGAGTGAAATTTGGGACTTTAGAAGAATGTAAACACAAGTTTTTAATCTGATGTTTACTTTGCTATGCTTCTACACAGAATGTCGTTTTATCTAAGCCTTGGGTCATGTTGGTGGAACCCTGGTAAACCCTTTCATGGCTTCCCACAGTGTAACGCGCCATTAGTCCCTTGAAGCTAAGGGTCTCATAAGAAAAATAATTTTGAATAATTTTGGTTCTGCTGTCTTTTTGCCCCTCTCCCACTGACTCTAATTATCTTCATGTCTTCTCTGCAGTGTGGACAGAAAACAGTCTTCCAAGTCTTGAATCTTAAACAAAGGCTATTATGATAGAGCAATGATCACAAGAAAAAGTAAATTACAGTTCAAAACATATTTGCTGCTTATCCCGTACACAGTTTAGCCTGTAGTTTTAAATCCGCAGGAATAACACTTTGCCAATTACTGAGCATTTATGTTAATCTGATTACTCCCCTCATGAACAACCTTATGCTTCTGTTTAAGGAATTTCTTACTCTTGAATTTAGAGAATTTGTTCAAAGTATCATAATCATATTGTAATTTCTAGCTTCCCTAATGTTTAACATCCCTCCTGGCTCTTTACCTGGCACATTTTTTCACAATCTGCTAAGATGCTAATTAAATTAACAAAGAGAAATGAACCAAAGGGAGAAGTTTCTGAGAGATCCAAGTCATTAAAGTTTCACTCTGAAGCTTGATTCCGTCCCCTCCTTTTCTTTCAATGGTTGTTTTGATTTAAGACAATGTGGTCAAAGAAGTGTGAATGTGTGATGTGTATAATGGCAATGGAGCCAGTGGAAGTTTCCATTGGCTTTGCAGCATTTGCATAAACTTGGTACATAAGCACACACAGCAGAATTTAGGATTCTTGGAAGCTACTGGGGGAAAACAGGGATCCAGAAGTGCAAGAACAGGAATCCAGCCATGAGCTCCAACAACTTAGATAGTCTTGCTGGCAAACACTTTAATGTGAGGGAAGCTCAGGGAAGGAACAGCTGTTCTTACCATAAACATCATGTGAAGTGGTCTCTGGGCAGGTTGTGTAGCTGCCCCTACACCTTGGAGACAGAAAACGCCAAAACCTCAACATACTTTGTTCTTCCCCTCCTGTTGAGGTTCAGTCCCACTTCATGGAACAGCATAAAGCAGTGATTCCCAACCTGTGGGCAATGGCATCTCTTATCTTCTAGGGCCCTCATAAAATGCTATGAATATTTGTCTGAATCCTTTTTCAAGGCTAACCTTCCACTTGTCCCCTTTTAAAAGATCCCACCAAGTGCACGTCATTTGACTGGTCTTTCCCTTATCTGAAGCAGCATCTTAACTACAAGAGCAGTGTCTTTTGATGAGTGCTTAATCTTTAGATGGGGACGTGGGTGGTGCTGTGGTCTAAACCACTGAGCCTAGGGCTTGCTGATCGGAAGGTCGGTGGTTCGAATCTGGGTGAGCTCCCATTGCTCAGTCCCAGCTCCTGCCAACCTAGCAGTTCGAAAGCACGTCAAAGTGCAAGTAGATAAATAGGTACCGCTCGAGTGGGAAGGTAAATGGCGTTTCCATGCACTGCTCTGGTTTCACGAGAAGCGGCTTAGTCATGCTAGCCACATGACTCGGAAAAACTGTCTGCGGACAAACGTCGGCTCCCTCGGCCAGTAAAGCGAGATAAGCACTGCAACCCCAGAGTCGTTTGCGACTGGACCTAACAGTCAGGGGTCCTTTACCTTTACCATTAATCTTTAGATATAAACTTGTCTTAGTTCCATATATAATTGGCAGAAGGAACGTCACTGCTCTGAGGCTGCTCAGTGGAGTCCTTCGTATGTTACATTAGAAAGATACCTATATTATTCACCTGAAATTATTCATGAGTATGCCCCATTCACTTCAATGAGTCTTATGCAAGAGTAAAAAAAAATACTAGCCCGAGTAAGCATCTTACGGTGCAATTCTGGACATGTTTCCTTCAGAGTTGAATTGCTAAACATTTTATTCTAAAAGGGGGGTGGTGTTCTAGTTGCTTGGCACTTCACTAAATATTGAGTTCTACAAGCCAAGAGACATCAAGGCTGTTTATTTTGAGGTGTTACTCCCAAACTACCTCACAAGATATGCAACTGAAGATTGTGAAAGCATATATATTGCCCACCTTCTCTTTATTTTGGATACTGCCAAAGTAAGTGAGGAAGAGTACCTGGTTAGCGTGGGACTTTTGCCACATTTTAATTACACTTCAGACTTTTGATGTATAAACAAATACAAAGATTAAAGCTGAATACAAAGATGGAAGTGGAAAGGAATCATTAAAGGATCAGATAATAAGAGTCTTTAAAAGATATAGACATGGTTTTCTTTAATCCATTGGGTAAAAAAAACTTTCAAAGTAACAAGCTGTTTATCTGCTGTTACACATCCAATAGCCTAATTTTGCTGCAACATGCCATACATGTATGTGTCACACATTCCACTTCATACTCGGCAATCACATCTTTCAAAATCTATGTGCACAAGAACACTATAAACAGCTTATATGTATATAAACTGACGTTTTTATCTAAGACTACAGATAAATGGAAACCAGGGGAAGAGAAAGATCTCATTCACATCTATAGATGCATGCATTTTGCCTAAACAAAAACTGCAAATTTAAACACATGGAGATAAAATTGCCTCAGGGGACAGATCCCATTCGTAGAATGCCAGTTGCCGCATTTTAAGAAATATTCCATATGCCATAATACACCTCACAACCTTGATTGTCACAGTTTAAGAAAGTTCTTACAAGTTTCATAAAAAGGCACTCCTTCACTCACAGCAGGATAAGCACCTGCATACATATTTGTCTTCACTGCTTGACAACATTCTGCAACTCTCATTAATTACTGCATGTAGTTCTAGGTTGACATTTGATTATCAAATCACCTTGGCCAATCATTCAATTAAATATCAACTGTTTGATAGACAAATGGACACACACACACAAATCAGCTAGTGTCTTTGTTACCCATTGTTTTTCTTACATGCCACCCCCCCCTTTATGTATTTTTATAGTTTGTATATACAGTATTTATATGATCATATTCTAGATCTGGGATTTCTGCTGAAATTTATGGATTTTATGCAACCTGCGTAATGTCACAACTTCTCCTTAATTGAAAAGGCAATTCTCTTTAAAAACAAAAACAAAAAAACCTCTGTGACAGTTCATTAGTAAGCTTCCCAAGTATTCCCCCCCCCCCCAAATCCTTAAGAGAACATAGCATTTCCTTTATTTCTGTATGGGGGAAAATCACACCACAATGTATTTCTCTAATTTATTAACAGTTGTATGCTGTCCAATAACCTAAAATTCTCTGGAAGGCTTAGAATAATAAACACAAAAACAGCACAAATGCAAAATAGAACATATAAACATAAAATCAAAAGCAAGATAAATGCAGCTAGAAGACGCATAATAACCTCCAAGGTTAAAACACAAATTTTAAAACTGAGAGGACCAGACTAATACATGTTATTAGAAAGGTCTTGTTGAACAGAAAATACTTTATTTTGAATATATAAGCAGGTTATATTATACTGTTCCCTGTATTTAAAAAATATTATACCCAGTGACCCACTGGAATTTCCCCAATATTGTAAAATAAAAGTATGCTATTATATTGGTAATATTGTCCAGGAAAACATATGAAAAGATGCACCCTTAAGGTTAAAAAGGAACATTTTTGCCTGGTGCCTAAAGGTGTATAATGAAGGCGCCAGGCAATCTTCCCTGGGGAGAGAGTTCCACAGATGGGGAGCGAGTTCCACAGATGGGGAGCCACTGCAGAGAAGGCCCGTTCTTGTGTTGCCACCCTCCGAACCTCTCGAGGAAGAGGCACACGAAGAAAGGCCTCAGAAGATGATCTCAGGGTCCGGGTAGGTTCATATGGAAAGAGGCGGTCCTTGAGGTATTGCGGTCCTGAGCCGTGTTGCTGAGCCATATTGAACCAAATTTGCTCTTTTGAAAGTAAACCTATTCAGATGCAGAGGCAGACTTTTGTAATCTTTTGTCATATGGTGCCCTGTGCTAGAGCAAAATTTGGCATGCCCAAATGGATCTTGTCAATTATGGATCTTCTCAGTTTTGCACCCCCTCAGCTAGGCGCCCTGCGGGGGATGGAGTGCCCACTCCACCCTAAATCCAGCGCAGTCAGGTGTTCTCTGTCTGCACATGTTTACAACTTCATGAGGGAGAGCAGGGGAAGGGGTGCTGGTAAGTCCTGCTCCCTTGAACCCTTCCCCTTGTTTGCAGGTTGCCAGACATGCCACTAATGCTGCTTCTATTTTCCTTGACACACTCAACTCCCCATTCATAATTCATAAGTTACCAGCCAAAACACTACCAAGTATACTGGGTATGGCTACTTAACTAGGTTAACCAAGTACAAACCATCATGTGAATGAGATAAAGGCATGATCAAAACTCTTCTTCTGTATCCAGTGCCTTACTTAAGTGCCTTATATGCTACCAACAGCCAATTTCAGTATATACACTATATCTCTATATATCAACAACCTACTCCCAATGCTCTGTGACCAGAGAAAAATGAAGCAGAAGGGTCTATGATTCTCTTATCTAATATTCCTTCTGGCTTCTAGCCCTTTCACTAAATTTTAAAAGGCAACATTTTCTTGCCAAATTCCTTTTCTGCCCAACATGACTTCCAGCAACAGCATTTTACTAGCTAGCCACTAGCTGTGGGAACATTGCGTGAATGCCACAACTCACCACAAACAATGCCAAAGACGGAGACAGAGTACTGTTTCCTGGAATGATGCCAAGTAGAAAACTTTCATAGGCATGTACAGGCCTGATCTAATGCAGGAAACCAAAGAAAAAGATACTGGAATCAAATGGGACTGATTTTAGATCAAAGCAAGCAGGGATCACCTGTTTAAGGAGACACCAGTTTGGGATTTAACTAGGCCACACATTTACCAGCGTTCTTAAACACAGGAAACGTTTAACTCAAGACCATCCTAGAAGAAAAAAAGCTGTATGATGCAAAGTCCACTCACCCAATCTCCTGGCACAACCAAGTTCCCAACAGATACAAAAACGAACACAAGGGAATCCTTGTAAGCTCCTTAACAAAAATCATTTAACAGCCATCAGCAGCAAGGTGCTGCTGAGAGCTGCCTACTTCACCAGCTAGCAAGTTCCTTCAACCCTGTAAATGACCTGCTCAGCTGCTTTGCAGGGATAAAACTTTGCATTCAGCTGCTCCAATGCTCTTCAGACTAGGGGACCCTTTCTCCATGGTCTGCTGCCATGAGAAGCAGCCACCTGTGTCGACACCCTTCACTGCCCCACAAGCTTATTCACAAACACTCCAATACCATTCCTCAAATTGCCAAGAAAAGCATTTGAGAGGTGCATGGAATCTTCCATATACATATCATCACCTGATAGGTGCCTAGCTGATATACAACTATTCCCCTCTGCAGACTGAAAACCTTACCAAGCTCCAGAACGACTTTTCTCCATGCTTCTTCTATGGCCACTGGGCACAATTTCTACCCAAGCACAATGGACTCCTGGAAACACATGCCTGGTGATACTGATGCACCAGGCCTCAGTGACTGCTTCCGCCCAAGATCACATGCTCCCTTATCACTCTCCTTCTCTAGTACTGCT